ACTTATTTTTCCTCAAGACCGCATATCACGGGGTTATTCCGATTGGCTGATTGATTGACGAGTTTGTTTGTTTGATATTGTATTTATTGGTAAATTGTCGACAAATTTGACCAGTCAACAAGCCAAATGACTGACGAAGACAGAGAATAGTATAGATCACTACTGGTCCCAGTGGACTCAATTATTGCACAAACTGACAAAGAAACTTTGTTGGCTTCCTTGAAATCACATCCACGACCTCCGAGTAGTTGTTTCTTCTTTGCTAAACCGTAATTAAACACGTGACCCCTCAAAATAGACATGGCCACGGGCCGGTTTCAGTCCGGAACCGGCCCAGGGCAAACCCAGGACCGGTCCGTTGACCCGGCCTGCAGTTCGGAACAGGAATCGGCCCGTGGCGAGCCCGCAGTTCGGAACAGGAACCGGCCCGTGGCTTGCGGGCCCGGTTCCGGTTCCAACAATTTTGGAACCAACGGTTCCGGGCCCGGTTCCAAAAAAAAAATTCATTCTTTCTCTATTTTTTTCTCCAAATTTGATTACAATGTATATTTTGATTACATTTTATATTGAATAATTCATTATTTCATAATTTGATAATTCATTATTTTTTTATTTCATAATTTATTTTTTTAATTTTTACCGGCCGGTTCCGAACTGGCCCGGAACCGCCGGTTCCGAACCGTGGCCAGGTCTACCTCAAAAGACATCATCATACGCACGATCAAATATATCAGCAAAGAACAGTATTAGATCTATTAATAAAATTAGAACTTTAGAAATGGTTCTTAAGTGTGGACCGCTATATCTAATAGGTGTGAACCCATCAACTTATTTTCTCTGGAGAATGGATATCACGGCAATATTCAGATTATCTTATTTTACACAAGTTTCTTTGTTTTTATATCAAATTTATTGTTAAATAGTTGATGCTCTTGAGCGGTCAACAAAAGTGTTTTCAATTAATGTACCGGATTCGAGGCTTTTGTCTATGTAGTCTTCGTTTTTCTTTTGGAAAATGAAGTATTTCATGTCATTAGGTTAGCTTTTATCATATGCTCACTAATAGAAAAAAAATTATGGCTTCCTCGAAATGGCAATCCCAACCTCCAAGTAGTCGTTTTTTCTTTTTTTTTTCTTTTCTCCAAACTGTCGATAATAATTTAACACATGACCACTCAAAAGATATATAATTGATACGTACAACTAAGTATATAATTGGTCTAGCCCTATTTCATTATTTTTATAACTTAGGGGCACGAGAACAAAAGTCCAGCTACCCCGGAAGCTTATATAACTCTCTAGTGAAAACTCTTTTATCATTTCAACACTGCAAAAGACATGATATATATCTATATGGCTATTTTGTGAAGACTTCATTGAAAGACTAACCATTGTAATTTATGGGTCATGTGGGAGTGAAGAAAGACATCCCAGCCATACCTGTATGCTATGTTATAAACATCTAATACAAGCTAGCAGGTATGAATATTAAGAAAGTTTTATTGTGAATTTGATCACAGCGTGACACGACTCTAAAGAATGACAAGTCTAGGCCTCTTGGATCTCAATCATATTCACATGTAAACAAATGACGGAACTCTGTTTTACCCTACATATGAAAACAGTACTTTATAATAGTCAAAGAATTACAACATTCCAGACCAGATGTTAAAAGAGTAAGTTTTTCAAAGTTTATACCTCTAACCTCGAAACAAAATTAGTGCTTCAAATAAGACCATAATGAAGTCACGCTTTCTAAACATAACATCAAGATGAAAAGTAACTCAAGGGCAAGGAGTGTTAGCATTTCGTGTACCTAGTAAAGCAGAAGAAGCAAAGTTGTCATAGTTTATGCAGACATTTTGGGAGACAACTCCCCATTTTGACGTAATGTGCAAGTTTAAGGAGGCCAAAGAACATCAATAGTCTAACAAAAAATGATAATCTTTTCTCTTAATGCACACACAGCTTCAAATGTAATGCCCAGTGTAACTTCCATTTGTGGAAAGTGTTAAATGTGGTAAGCACAACCTGAAACCTACAACAAGCAAACTAAGTTCAAGTATGCATCGTCAGGACTATAAATTAAAATTCACTCAAAGATCCAACTTTCATCCATAGAAAAAAGGAATCCTACAAGGTAGTGCTAGAATATTATTGGCAGAGGTATTGTGAAATTCATCTTCAACATGAACAAGATTGTTCTCTAATGTGGTCAGGAAGACTCAGGCAATTGGGAGCCCCAGCCACATATTCGCAAGAATTAAGAAAATAGATGGCACAAGAGTTATGGACTTCAACCGCACATAACACAAAATAATCCATAGGAAAAGCAAAATGAAGAGTTGACTAATCACTATTAAAATAAATAGTTTCTATGTGACATTCCGAATTTCGGCCCATTTTTAGGATTTATAAAACGTGTAATTCGTCAGTGTGCTTATAGTAAAATCTCGCTCGGGAACTGATCACTCTCGGTTATTGTTTTTAAAATTGAGATTTCGCTAGAATCGCACTCGATCGAATTTGGCCGTTATTTAGAGCCCAAACTTTGGTGTCGAATTTCTCGGAGTTTCGGGATGAATTTAATTGGACGGTGTCGATATTATTGTGGCCAGCCTTGAGATTGCCCGGGATATGTGAAAAGTGAAATTTGGACCGGGTGCGGACCTAGACCAATATACCTCCCTTAGTGTTTATTTGAATTAGTGTCTTCTAATCTTTTTCTTTAATTGAAAACTAGGAATTTTCGTGGCCCTTAGATATTGGCTTGCTCACCAAGATCAATTTTGGACCCTCGGATTGCACTTGAGTGGGTTGACTTGCTCTCTCTCTCTCTCTTCTTATTCCCGGAGCTCTCTCTCTCTCCCTCCTTGGAATCAGCCGAAGCTCCAAGCACCATCACCTCCACCTTGCTTCTCCGGTTCAGATGCCACCGGACTCGCCGCCTGAATCGCCGCCCAGACACCCGTCCGGCCACCGGAGTGCGCACTGTTCACAAAAGCCTGAACTAGCCCAGAAACCAACTGGAAAACACCCATTTTCCCCTCTTTCTCTCTCTCTTTAGGCCTCACTCCTGGTACCCCAACCACCACCATCTTGTGTTCGTTCCAACCATCCCAGCCTGGTCGCCAGAAAGTCGTCGGAGATTCCCGTCCAGCCCTGTTCACTGCCGGAGCTTAGTTTGTCTGTTCACTGGTTTTCTTGCTTAAACCCTTGGTAAGTGACTTCCTAATCCTTGGTTAGGCTAGTGGGTTACTAATGGCATGTCTAGGGATGGGTTAGGGGCTGTGGATAGTTGGTTTAGTGGTTGTATAAGCTTGATTTGCTTAATGGTGCAAGTTTAATGATTCTCGGATTTCTGGTTGTTACTGTACCTCTGCGCCTTGTTATTTTTTTGGTGATCATTGTGGGCAGAATCTGAGGAAGTGTTCTCATGGAATTTGTTCCCAACATCTTAAGGTATAACATACTTTAAATTCAGAATTTTCGGAAGTTGTTTGGGGTCATTCGGAGGTCGGCTTTCGGACCGTCTCAGGGCTGCCGGAGTTACTGTTCACCCGCCCTTCTTATCTTTCCAAATTTTTATAAAATTTTCTAGACCTTATTTCAACAAACTTCCCTCACGAAAATTGTTAAAAACACTTGTTTCTATGATATATAAAAATTTCAGAGCTTTTCAAAGTGATTTGGGTACTGAATGAGTTGTATTTTGATGGTCTGAGGGGCTGTCCGAGCGAACCGGATTCTGTCCGGATTTGAGTGTCAAAAAGAGGTGTTTACAGTTGGAACTGGGTTTCAAGTTCTTCATGGAAAATGTTTATCAAGATGTTTTATACAACATATCCAAATTTCAGAATTTTTGGAGTTTATTTACTATTTATTTCAAATGGATTTCTGTTACTGCGCAACTGCCCAGTTTGGACCCGATTTTGTATATTCTCGGTTTTTCTCTCTCTCGAGAATTATTCGGTGTTATCGTGGCGTTTGTGGATGAATTTGATGTTTGAATGTGGCCGACTTGAATGTCGGATGGGTGGGCTTGTTTGGTGAACTCGTGATTGGAATTTGATTAGTATGACGTGTGAGAACGGACTTGAGACGTGTTGACGGTGGTCCATGAAAGGAAAGTTTGGCTTGAGACGTGTTGGCGGCGGCCATTGGAATTGATTGAATTGTGTGGCTTGTGTGCTTGTGAGAACGGACTTGAGACGTTGATGGTGGTCCGTCAAAGGAAAGTTTGGCTTGGGACGTGTTGACGGCGGCCATTGGAATTGATTGAATTGTGTGGCTTGTGTGCTTGTGAGAACGGACTTGAGACGTGTTGACGGTGGTCCGTGAAAGGAAAGTTTGGCTTGGGACGTGTTGACGGCGGCCATTGGAATTGATTGAATTGTGTGGTTTGTGTGCTTGTGAGAACGGACTTGAGACGTGTTGACGGTGGTCCGTCAAAGGAAAGTCAGACCTGAGGCGTGTTTACCGGGTCGTGAGAAAGTGCGAACGTCCAGTGAGGGACAGAGCCCGAATTGATCGAAGGGCTGAGCCTGAGGTGCATTGGCACGGGCTGTGAGAATGGACCTGAAGCGCAGTGGCGCTGGTCGTGAGATGGTTGATTGGGCACGTGTGCGAAATGTGATTGGTTGGATTGGCTGGAAGTACGTGTGGATATTTGATTGGATTGATTGATGGTACGTGTGGATATTTGATTGGATTGATTGATGGTATGTGTGGATGTTTGGTTGGATTGGTTGGGTGTGAGTATGGATGGCGCTCGAATGATTGTGTTATATTATCGGAATATTATTTCATTATCATGATTTGACTAATGTGCAGTGGGGGCATGTGATTGGATGGCGAGGTAAGTCCATTGATGTGAATTATATATTTGTTATCGGTTATATTGCATGTTGAGACTTGTCTAGGTACGCATTGGCCTAGGTGGGATTTAGGGTGTTGCTTATTGAGACTCGTTCTCACGGTTATTATATAACCACTTTTAGATCCGCGACCGTGATCGATTTGGAGATGCCGCCAGAGTACCACAGGGATTGAAGGATAGATCAAATTACCCTATCTTTTGAGTACCTTTTCGTAGAGGAGATAAGCTTGTCAACCACCGCCCCCTTTTGAAAATTGTGGTTTGAAATTGGTAGCCTGGGTTATCGTTTTGTAATAGTGACTGCTTTATGATGTTATGCAATTATTGCTTCGTGCTATCCTTTTGTCATCATGTTAGTTGTCTGGGTTGTTTTATTTCGCTTCCGCTTGCGTAGTTTGTTTGGGTCGGCGACGTGTCCTGGGACGTCGCGTTCAATACGACCGTTGAAGGGACGTCGCGAGCCCGTTGGGGTTTGGGGCGTGACATTCTACTTCTCATCCAACACATGAGTGTCGATAACTGATCAATTGTGCTAGACCATTGAGATTTTATTGTGCTTTTATGACTACTAGTTTCTATCCAAACATCTGCTCAACTTGAACAAGACAAAAAACCATGAGAGTACTAATTGTGGCACCACAAGTAAACTAACCTCACTTGGTACTGTCGATTTGTTGAAGAGATCTAGCAAAATTGTGAGAGAACTTTAGGTGAAGTTAAATTTCATCTAGAGATTAAGAAGCTTTTGTTATATCTCATAGACCTAATGAAGAGACAGATGGGCTCTAAGAATGTAATAGAGGTGTTGAGGAGAAGAGTTAATGGGAGTTTTCAAAAAAAAGGAATCAGAAAAGAGGAGGCAGGGCAGGAACCTTTCTTTTGTTTGGGTGGGTTTCTTTTCTTTTACCAAGTGGTACTTCCTTCTCTCTAAATGCCCCAATTTCTCTCTCTCTCTCTCTCTCTCTCTCTCTCTCTCTCTCTCTCTCTCTCTCTCTCTCTCTCTCTCTCTCTCTCTCTCTCTCTCTCTCCTAGAGAGAGATGGAAAGTAGCTATTTCCAAGGCTCTAAGTTTTCTCCCTTAATTTAATTCCGCAGAAGGGATATATTATGTGTAAATAGTTTCTTTTTTTCTAGTGGCTTCAAAGCCATAAACAAAGTGATAAATACTCACCTCTCAACAGAAATCCCTGCATGGAGCCAATGGATGGCAATGCCATCCAAAGCAAGATTTCCTCCCAAGTCTCCAACTTTCCACATGCCCAACACATACAGCTAAGAAATGTTTGAACTCCCTTAGCCTCCTAGACTAAACCAAAGCTGATAAAAAAAGCCATGGATTCCACATGGATTCATTATCTATTATGTCAACAATTAAAGTAAGCCCATATTGTATAGTGCTCATATAGCTGCTCCACTCTCATCAATGCTTAACACAATGAGCAAACTCAGGATGCTTACAGGTTCATGACAGGAGAAATAACCTCATGCCCTCGCTACCAATAATCCCCACAAGAGCAAATGCCACTCCTAAAGCGATGAATGCGGCTGGAATCTCTCACTACCATCTCATGATCAACAATCTTTGCAATAAGTTTAATTGCAAAATGACATTCTCCACAAATGCAAAGATTCTTCATTATAGTTGTTGTACTACCCTTGATAGTAATAATGACCCTTCCTTCTGTTCGTCTTCCATGTCATGGAGAGAGAACCTCTTATTTGGAACGCTACCCGATTCCTTCAACTTCAGTTTCAACTAATCCGGCTTCCAATATATGTTCTCACTCAAACGGTGGGATTTATCCCTAGAAAGAAATAAATGCTTTTGCCCCTTTATAGTAACCCAACTGCTACCTGGTTGCTTCACAATCCATTTATCCCTCATAGTCACTCTTAATCTCGAGACATCACCCCACCTATTAGCAGAAGCATAGATGTTGGACAGTAAAACATAAGCAGCACTACAATGTGGTTTTGGGTCAAGAATATAGTTTGCAGCTCTTTCTGCCAAATCTAGGTTAGAATGCATCCTACAAGAACTAAGCCAAGCAAGCCACACTATGAAGTTAGTTTTAAAGGGCATGTTCTTACAATATCCTCTGCTTCCTCTAGCTTCCCACATCATCCTAGCACATCCACCATGCATGCATAATGCTCATGCTTCAATTCACTGGAAGTGTTCTCACTAAAGTATCTGAACAAGCACCTACCCTTTTGTAACATCCCAAAATGACTACAGGAAGAAAGTAGTCCCGTGCAGTGTGATCTCATCTGGTTGTACCAGTCTGTGAATCATTTGGCTAAACAACTCCATAGCCCACATCCCTTAGGCATGTTGTGCAAACCCGCAAACAACGACATTCCAGGTGACAATGTTCTTCTCTAAGTCTTTTGAACACTACAACAGCATCATCAACGCCTCCACACTTATTATACCTGACTACAAGAGAATTGCCAACAAAAACATCACTTTCCAATTTCGTCTTTACATCTGACGCATGGACCTCCTTACCTCGATCTAGAGACTCTAAAACTACAGCAAGAGTTTAAAGAACTTAGAGAAGAAGATTGATTAGGAAGAACACTTGTTCTCATCATGTCACTGAACACCTTCAGGCCATCTTCATGCCTGCCATTCGAGCCATAACCAGTTAGAAGAGCCGTGCATATGACCACATTCCTATAAACTGCTTCATTGAAGACTTGGGTTGCTTTCTTAATGCGCTGGCAGTTAGCATAGAACGTGATGAGAGAAGCACATACAAATCGACTAAGGCAGAATCCTGACTTGAAAACATGACCATGAATCTGCACACTAGAGGAAAAGATGATGCATTTGCACAGGCACTCAATGCACATGTCAAGTTACTCGAATTGGGAACAGCACCAGACTCGAACATTCTCTCAAAAAGAATTAAAGCCTCTTCACTCTTACCATTTTAGTCAAGCCCGCCAGTCCTTGGAGTCCATGGAATCACATTTTGAGAAGGCATTTGCTCAAACAATTTCACAGCATCATCAACCCTCGCATTCTCACAATACCCATGAAGCATCGCATTCCATGCAGCGAGATCCCTTATGGGCATCTGTTTGAAAAATCTCTCTACCTACTCAACTTGTCCAAATCGAAAGAACCCATCTATCATTGTCGTCCACGAAACAACACTTGGTTCGGGCATTTCATCAAAAAGCTCTTCCGCCACCATCAAGTCCCCGTAGTCTAAGCAGCCTTTGATCATTGTGTTCCAGCAAATTGCATCTCTCACGGGCATTTCGTAGAACAGTTTCAGGGCATCGTCAAGGCAGCCAGTTCGTTGGCAACCCATGATCATCTTTGTGAACGAACGAACATCTAGGTATTGAAATATGTCCAGAACCTCCCGAGTTTCATCTGGCTTTTCGTTCTTAAGGTGTCCAAAGACCGCGGGACTGTCACTAGTTGCATGACTCGCACGTTTAAAGAAGTGCTTGGAGAGTTGGGTGTAGGTTTCACATCTGAGATTTGGGACATTATCTCGTGAGCTTTTACAATTACTGGATGATCAAGGCTGATATAACGTAGGCACTTGTTTCAGTAAATTGGGAAATTTTGCTTGCTTGCTTGCTTGCTTGCTTGTATTATTTCACTAAAATTTCAATAAATTGTAATGTGGATTAAACTTTGCATTACTACTCCTTGTTTCTCTCTTAGTTTGAATGGTGGCTTGGAGGGCTGTCACGACTTCCCGAATGGTCGGGAGACGGATTTAGAGGTAACGTCGAGTTAAGGGACCAACGGCTCTCAATCATCACGAGTTCTCCCAAACCTTTACATTGCGCGATGTCGGGAAATTCATTTCAACTAATTAAACCTACGAAAATCCTATACGAGAGAGTCGCCAATAGCTTATTGTGGTCAATTAGAAACCTTTCGGTACCTAGGTCAGGGACTTGATTAATCTTCAATGTACTCCATATATTCCAAAGCTTCTCCATATTGAAATTGAATTCTAATAAAATACAATTGTTTTTGGTTGAATATGAGGATCGATACTGTGCTAAGTTGCTTCAATTGAGTGGTTCTAAATGGGGAAATTTGTCTGTCAAGGTTTAGGATCTTTCTCTTACCCCTGGTAGACTAAGTGACAAATGATGTAGGTCGTTGATCAGGAAGATTCCAAACGGAACGACGGCATGGACTGTAAAACACTTCATTTATGCAGGTAGACCCCAATTGATCAAGTTTGTCGTTATTTACAGCTTGATAAACTATAATTGTCAACATTGTTATGCCAAGAAAGTTGATATGAAATGCTCAGCATTTGTGTAAAGGATGTTGGCCACGAAAATGGCACGCCCAAGATCACCATAATCAGAAACCGAAACACGATAATGGAGAAATTGTCGATTCGCGTACCTGGTTTGGAATCCATCGAACTTGACGCGGAATTTGCGACGGTTTCCGAACACGAACTCAAGTGCTTCTCCCCTATCCCCTTCGTTAGAACACTGGCGTAATGAGATTGCCACTCACGAGAAGAAAGTTCTCTCTAAATCCGTATGTGAGTCAAATTGTGCATCATCAGGTTAGGGGAGGGACTTGAGCGCTATTTATAGAGTCTTCGACCACGGGCCCTCTCATTACCGGCCGGGCCGTACTCGGCCCACACCAGCCAGCCCCATATTAGACTGATTAAGTACCCATATATCTTACCTTTATTAGACAAAACTAATTCAGTTAATTTCAATTAATGAAGCCCACATTAGGAAATTCTTACATTCTCCCACTTGGGCAATATTAATTGAAACAGAACTGTGTGCGCACCCTTATATTGGTCTAGAGATTATTCTTCATAGTCAATCCGATCCCATAAAGTCTCGAACACCGAATCATGGCGGTAACTGCATGTACTCACGCAGAGCCTTCCATGGTCACGAGTGCTTTCAACTTTACTGATATGGATTCAATATGGTAGTGTGTCAAATAGACAATACCTCAAAATGAGTGATACTTCATGTGTTATCCATTTTGTTAGTCCAAATTCTCTCTCCTTAAGTGTCACAAAACCTAGTGTGTCACCAGAGAATTCCTTCATGGTTCCAACGAACCTTCATATGTCTTACCTTGATAGTTAACTGTACTTTATGTGTAACAAGACATATCGTTAAGGCTAATACCAAGAATGCCCCATAGCCTGTACTCGAGGTTTACACAATGCCTCGAGATTTTCATCAAATATATGTACTCAACTTGATAAATCTACATTCACAAATACCTCATTGAATGCAAAAGAGTTG